CCTGCTTCGTCTTTAGCTACAGCTTTGTTAAATTTGATTTCCGACAGATGGTTTTACTGGATGGTCCTAAAACTCTATTCGTTAAATGTAATTTAAATTTGGATCCTTGCACTTGTTACGGTGTTCAGCTCCACCAGAATACTAGGGATATCAAAATGCATCCTGGACTGGGTTTGATTTCACTTTGGAGGGGAAGGCGATCGATATAAATTGCCTTGAATGTGTTAGATGCTTAGCGGAATACAGCGGTTTTCACGTGCTACTGAAAGCATCGGTTAGATTCAATGTTTCAAACGTTCAGTGTTTGTAAGGTACTGGGATTCATATCCATGTATCACGGGGATGAGCTTGAATAACCTTCATAAGATACAATCATCCGGGCCGCTAAGACAAAACTCATATGTTTTTATCCTACCCAACCGAAATGGATAATAACCCAGGAAGGAGGGTTTTCGATGAAAGTATATTCTGTTATTGTAAAACAGTCACATTCATTGGGAACTACACGCACCATTGAGCTAATGTGTTTTGCGCTAGGTTTTCTGCCTTTCACTGCCTTCACATTAAGCCTCAATGATGTGGCATATTTAAATCGATACGAAGCAACAGAGTCTATCAATCTAATCCACACTATGCTCAGAACTCACCAATGCAGTGGGATAGTGTAATAGCAGTTGTGATAACATCTATCGCTTTTGTGTGAATGTGAACATTTTGTGAACATTGTGTAGAGAACATTTCCAGTACAATGGAAAGCGAGTGAGAGAGGGTGTAATTCAACCGCTTGAGGTGCCAAAGATGATATCTTGCTTGGAGCATTGTGATTCTTGGAACAGTTTAAACAAGATGGTAAGAAGTACAAGAATAATTTCATTTCGCGCAATCTTTTCTGCTGCCATACGTGTAAAACGGAGAAAAATGAATCCCATGACGTCGTTCATATGGAACTGCATCTTAGCCTGACAAGTTTTTTGAGTCACGCAGTCTCAGCTTAGCCCGCAAGCCATTGTGAGTGCAAAGTGCAGGCTTGAATCGACTGATCAGTATTGCTGCAAGGGAGTGAACTCGCTGCATCGCGCGATGACCATGAGTGAAGTGTAAAGTTCGATTTTGCGAACACAGTGATCAGTGGTTCGGCTTTTGATTCAGTGGGAGCTTCAATGTTGTACGACATCTACTTGGGTGGATTTTCTTTTGGTCAGTTCCACCACTGTTCGTGCGCTCTTCCTGTCGCTCGTTCTTTGACTTATTTTAGTTGTTCGGCGTTAGCACAGTTTTAAACCAGTCAGCCACCTTGGAGACTCTATCTGGATTCTGCATCAGTCGCGATCTATGGAATGAGGTGTGGATCGACGTAAGTTTGTGTTGCATGGGACAGGGGTTTGTAAGGTTTAGGTACTGATAACCTGCTTTCCCTACACGAAAGTAAAACCGTACTTTCGCACTCTGAAGTGGCGACAAGTGCAATATGTGGTCCGGTGATACCTGTCCTAGCAGAAAATGATTCGAACAACGACTTCTACGCTAACCGTACCTGTCTGGTCTATCGGGTCAGTATGGTAGTTCGGTTGATTCACTGGACTGTTCAGGCCATTTTGTGGGTCGACGAATCACATGAAGTTCGTTATGGTTGTAGTGGACACGTCAGTTGACGCATTTATGATGTTTGGATGTTTCCGCCTGCTGATTTTAACCTCGTTCTACTCATCCAACCGTAGTTGCGGAGATCCTTCAAATTCTGATGCGAACGGCATGCCTCGAATGATGCAAGCCTTACGCGTACGATGCTCTGATTCAAGCTCCCAATGTAAACTGATTCCATTCAACATTTCATCCCTTTGTATGTATACACAAGTCTTTGCATGAAATCTGACTTCTTGAGACTCCCGTTTTCTTTACAGGCATGAAGAATGAGTCCTGAAAATTAGAAACTACTTATTTGTAATGTACTACTCATAAGGTTGCTAAAAATCCATCGACGTGTATCGCGATATTTCAAATATCGTAGCGACTGAAACATGAGGTGACCTGGTGCAGTACATTCAGTTGCCTGAGAACATCATAAATGAGAGATTCAGCTGGGTTCCAGGTGAGTCTCTCGAAAGAACCAAATTAGTTTGCAGATGAGTGTATATTCGCTAGAAACTACTTACTTCGTTCAAATTTGAGCGGAACACTGGAGTAACTCGGACGTCATTGGACAGACTCAATGGAATTCAGCAGTATGTAAGCGGGATACACACTATTCATGGCTTCATCGTTTCGGTGAAATAAGTCGATTAGTAAACGGATCATCCGAAAGACCCAGATTTATCATCATTATGTGATTCAAGCAGAAGTAGATGTCCCAGCGAAATAATTCCTATGCTTCTTACGTATGACATTTAAGGATGTGGCGGCATGTGTAATGGTTTTCTTTCATTATGCCACACATCTTTAGGTCTGGCATCAAAGTGCATTGCAAAACACACCTGGTAAAATCCCCCATAATGTAGTAGGACTTAAAGTCAACAGCCCCTGATTTTGTGTGGACTGTCATTAAGTCGAAGGCTGTTGGGATCTCGGAGGAAGAATACGGAACTGCCTTTGGAACGACATCTTCACATAATACGGCTGTCACCCACAGCAGCCGAAAAAGTTGGACGATTTGAAAAAGCATAAAACTCCACCTGTTTCCACTAGTAAACAACTGCTACTTGGGACCTTATATTCCATTCCATGTCATGGATTGGTGCTTTGCTCTCATATCGAACTGTGAACTGAACCGTGAGTCAGACAGTGAGTTTTCTGATGAACACACTTCAGTCAATGTGTCCAGAAAAAATCTCAATTCCTCTATGTTCTCAGAAGTAGAGGCATATAAGAAGGACATTACTGATATTAAGGAAAAGCAGATAGTGAAATTGAGGACCGCTATATATATATATATATCAATCTTGTTGGACGTATATTTATGAAACAATTTGTGAATCTCCATCTTTTTGTTTCACCACGGACAAGGTTATCTGGTGATACTACTCCTTTGGTTGCTGGAAACTTCTCGACAGCCAAAAACCGGTCCCAACCTCTTAGAGCTCATCAGATAGATGCAATCTCCGATTTTCCATCAAACTTACATTCAACCTGACTCAACTTGCATGCAGTTGGCGAAGTACACTCATTTGCAACTTTACCTCCATTGGAGAATATCATTAGCAGGAAATTGCATTGAATCTCTTCTGAACACCAAGTTATTTCTAATTGAGTGTATTTCGCCAGCTGCATACGAGTTGACTTGAAGTGAAACATAAGGTTGGCGAAAACTCAGGGTCGTACCGCTGATGAACCGGAAAAGGAGTGGAAACAACCATGAATGACCGATTTTTCAGCAATTTGACGAGGATGTGGACTTTGGGATACATAGAAATTAACCATTTACCGCTTTCATCTAGTGTGGTTGGGCACCAAGCATTCGTTGAGATTGAGAACTAACCAAATGACGTCATGAGGGAAGCGCTAAAAAAACCTTTACAGCAAAACAAAACAGAAAGTTTTAGGACACTTTGCGGGTGGTGGTACGTTTTGCAGTGTCCTAAGTCGATGTTGAAGATCATTCTGAAATGCTTGCGGTACACTGAGACGACAGAGGGTGCTCACAAAATCCATCAAATTACTCATTATCGAGCCGGCAGAGAATCCTACGACAACCACTTGAAACTATGTTGAGCGTAGTCATTCTGTTTGTGATTAAGTTCCCCACTAGGATGGGTACCCCAAGTTGGAAAACCCTTTTCAACAAAGGATGCGCTTTCGAATCTATGCAATGGGGGAAACTCTATGCTACCAGATTTGCTCTTGATAGAAATAAAAAGTATTTTTTCCCACAAATTATCGACATTCACATTTGAAGCGGGGCTGGATTACCACAAAACTTTATCAGCGTTATCACTGGCATTCTGAAATTCTTGGTCGATGACTCTGCAGTTGATACCGAAAAGAATCCATCTCTTTCGTCCTCTAACGCCATTTTCTTGCCTACCACGGTTACTAGTTCTGCAGATTTCTAAAACTTTCGAAGCTTTTCCAGCAGAGGTGCGTGCACAAACAGCGCTCAGCGATCAATGAACCAAAGGTCAGAGTGACCATTCAGATCTAGAGTGTTTAATTGCAAGGCGATATCTGATCATTTTTAATGATTAAGCCCTGGAAGACAACATTATCTACCAATGTCAATGCGGTGGTGGGCCTCATATCAATGGGGAAGACAAAATGTGCCCCAGTCTGAGATTTCTATACTGTTTCTATACTGAAGATTCATCACTATTTTTTTCGAAAGTGTCTTCACTTTGTAAAACACAGATTGAAACAAGTGAGTTGTTTTCTGAAGTTATTTGGCACAAACACTCGTTTAGGAAGTTTTTGGATGTTTCTTATGCCTGTTAACTTTCGCATAACCAACAAGGTCTAAGAATTTGGCCGTGCTGTGCCTGAGCCGCTATACTTTTTTCTTGACCTGCTGCAGATACTTAACCACGGTTTCCTAAATTCCCCAAAGATTTTCGTTCCTTTTGTGAGAAATCGCATTGGTTGGTTGGCGTCACACGGTTTGGAAAACATCGACCAATGCTGTCTCTTTGCTGCTTGGAACCATGAACAATCTAAATGAACTGCTTAATCGAAGGCAGCATCACCATACTGATGTCAAAAAAGCTGGCCGCATCCCGAAAAAGATTGTGTAGCTATCCAGTACGATGTCTAGAGTCGGTCCTGGCTGACAGTCCAGAAGCTTTTTACTCAGGCGGCTGAATATACCCATTTTAGTCATGCGAACGAAGAAGGTAGCGAACAAAGCTTGTTTTCTGTGATTGTTCATCTTGGTTAATACATCACAAATTTATATGGTAGCAGAAATCACGCGGAAAAGGTTAAGATCGGGGCTACACTTTAGAGAAATAGAAGTCAAAGGAAGGGGGTTGGGTGAGGGGTAGGTCAATGGGTCATGACGTCAATGTCAGACAGACTTGTGGGACCAGATGTTTCGTAGGCCAGTTCAAGTTCAGAGGTCGCACAATTTTCTTTTGGATGCAAAGTTGTGGATCCAGCAGTCGGATTCCTATCGCCTCTGCGATCGATAGTAGTTTGGATCGTACCAGTCGTGGTCCGTTCAGAGGTACCCGGTATATGATGGGTACCTCTGAACGGACCACGACTGGTACGATCCAAACTACTATCGATCGCAGAGGCGATAGGAATCCGACTGCTGGATCCACAACTTTGCATCCAAAAGAAACTTGTGTGACCTCTGAACTTGAACTGGCCTACGAAACATCTGGTCCCACAAGTCTGTCTGACATTGACGTCATGACCCATTGACCTACCCCTCACCCAACCCCCTTCCTTTGACTTCTATTTCTCTAAAGTGTAGCCCCGATCTTAACCTTTTCCGCGTGATTTCTGCTACCATATAAATTTGTGGTGTATTAACCAAGATGAACAATCACAGAAAACAAGCTTTGTTCGCTTTTTACTCAGTAATGTCAGCTCTTTTTTCCGTATTCTGAGTCTCCCCCTGCACTGAATTCTCAGTTGAATCAGTTTGTTTGTATCCCTCCTGGTCATCTTAATCGGTTTAACTGCTTCCTCCCCAAAGCACTTGGTTTCTTAGTGTCCTATACTACCAAGCAAGCTTTATAGCTGTCAATGATAATGATGATGATGCTGACTGTATTTGATCATACTGGTCGTATTTTAGTCACACGCGGGCGTGCCCTCTTGACTCATCGAAGCGGTGATGTACTCAGAGTCAAACAACAGACCTTTCAGGAGGAAGACCACAAGAGTGCCTAAGCGTGGGAGATTTACGGAAGAATACATCCACCAACTGGAAAGTTTTGCTTTCTGTAGCTGTAGCTTTCATAACCGCAATCCTTCGGCATGTCATGAAAACTTAACCGGTTAGTCCCGTTTCCGTTCTGACTTTCTTTGTCTTGTTAAGGAGAATTATTATCTTCTAGCCACTGCTTATCAAATAACATCGTAGGATGACAAAAAGCTTACCGGAAGGGAAGGCAGACGGCACCAAGGAGCTGATGAAATAGATTAAAAGGGAATAAAGTATGCTTCCAAACTCTAGCTGATAACATGTACTGTTTTCAAGCAGATGTGTTGGCAACCATAAGCATTGTTTGCTTGACTGTAACCAGAACAGACAGTCCCGAATTCATCGTCATAGCTAGTCAGCTCACCACCTTGAATTCCTTCGAATGGTCTTACCATATTTCCAGTTGCTGTTTGTATGCAGCTCATCTAAATCAAGCCTGGAAAAGGTGGAGGTCCTGATCTCCAATCACTCAGGCCTCTCAGTTCGTGCTGACGTTCTCATCGCTCTGTTCAACCACACCTCACAGCCGGAAAAATTGCCAAGTGTCGGAGAGCGCGAGTGAGCACCGCGGCGGTTAAAAAATGCGTACCTAGTGCCTCCTCGTTTATCTGTTTGAAACCGTTTGAGAGGTTGCTTTTTAGAAGGATAACTGTGCTCCCTATGCGGTATTGCTTCCGACGTTGGGTTTTACTGCCTACCTGCTACTCGACAGCATCTTCACTTGGTCGCACTTGGTCGTAATAGCAAGGTGGTTCGGTTGTTCCCCATAAACTACATTGAGGCGCTTATCAGTATCGACACAAGAGTGCTGCGGCTTCCCTCTGAAGGTGTTGGTGAGGTAGGCCTTTTGCGGTTTCTTAAAGACAATTTCAATCACCGAATTCAGTTTACAAACCTTCGTGGCCCCGAATTCCGCACCACTGTCGGCTAGCACACAAGTTTTCAACGGAGTATTTTTCATGTTTCTTTTCTTTTTATGTCAGCACCATCTCCACCGCCAGTCTTTTCCTTCAGTGCAGATATACTGACGATGCATTGCTTCATCATACATGAGACGCCAAGCGTCAACGCTGACCTACAGACCGGACTTGACGCCCTCAGTGGATGACCTCAAAATGGTTCACCTCCATTTATTGTCCTGAAGTTACAGGGTGTAAGATTTATCCTAATCCCAGGAGTGGTATACGTCAAATTTCTCGGCATCCTTTTATCCCTCATTGTTCACGTTTGGATCGCAAGATTTTCCATGGTGGAACAATTTGGGATAGCCATCTCAAGCTATCCTAAATGGTCTCCTCGTGTTGAGTCCACTTTTACGGAAGCCTGAACACTAACATTTTATGTTCTGGAACTCAGAACGCCGCACGTCTTCACCGATCTTATCTTGAAGGGCATTCTTCAGCATCTGATCGACTGCATGAGATCAGACGCAGTAGATCTGCAAACGTTGTTCTTGACAAGCACAGAGACGCTTCTTATAAGTTATATCCGAGAAACTTACTGGGTGTCCAACACAATTCCATTACTTACCCTTCAAGGCTGTAAAACATTCAGTAATCCCACCTCTCCCGGGCTTGTTGGGTGAACGGCAATTTATCAGCCTGGGCTCGTAAAGACAACGTTAAGTTATGCTGTTTAACATACAAACCGAAATACATTGATCGAGGCCACAAGGCTAATACACCCATAAATAACTGGAGTTTTACACACATCCATTTGGTGAGTAGCCCAACGCAGGCTTGCGGAGGTCACCTTAAAACGATGCGAATAGGTAAAGAGCCCTCTAAAATGTCCATACGGCTGTTCTGTCTAGTGAACCCAAACGCATACGGTAGTTTGGCATAGCTGGTGCCAGGGGGTGGAGAAATCGCCCGAACGCGACCATCAAACAACCAGCCCACTGAGACACTGGTTTGGCCCACGCATGATTAACGTCTTACTGAGCGAACAGCACCCAGTGCCAACTGTCTAGCAGTATGAATCCATTGGTTTATAAGAATGGGGGCCGGAGAAAATGATAGATGATATCGAACGGAAATGTCAGTCACATGGGGATGCTATCTTGTCCCTAACAGGGAAGTACATGACTCTGAAGAGTCGTGCGTTCTATCCCTAATCTGAACTACAGGTTTTAAACTCTATTGGAGGCTTCCAATATAGACTTAAGACGAATTTGGAAAATATTCCCAATGGCGGGCGGGCTATATCTCAAAGCTCATCTTTAGGTCATCTTTATGTATATATATATATATATATATATATATATATATATATATATATATATATATATATATATATATATATATATATATATATATATATATATATATATATATATATATATATATATATATATATATATATATATATATATATATATATATATATATATATATATATATATATATATATATATATATATATATATATATATATATATATATATATATATATATATATATATATATATATATATATATATATATATATATATATATATATATATATATATATATATATATATATATATATATATATATATATATATATATATATATATATATATATATATATATATATATATATATATATATATATATATATATATATATATATATATATATATATATATATATATATATATATATATATATATATATATATATATATATATATATATATATATATATATATATATATATATATATATATAT